TTATACTCTCTCAAATTGAACATGCACAAAAGAATGCACAACATTAAGGTACATTTTGATGATTTGCCACAGTGCTCACCTGTTCTGCTTTTTTGGTTTTGTTGTAGATGGATTTACTTTTTTTTTTTTTTTTTTTACTATGTTTAATTTTGGTTGAAATGAAGTCCTTCCAATTATGTCCATAACTTTCAACACAGATATAAAGGCAGGAGAGAGAAAAGTAAGTTCAGGACCTTATGTTGTACAGGTGAGAGGCTTTTGGCAAAAAAAAAAAAAAAGTTGTTATTATATTGATGCATTTCAATGATTTAAATAAGGTTTTTATGACATTTTGGGAACTTTATTCAGCTCCTCTTCAGGCTTTAAATTTAGAAGTGGTTCCAGTCATTGGAAGAAACCAGGAGGTGAATCTGACAGCCATCATACTGCCCAAGAACCCGAACTTGACAGTCTTCTACTGGTGGATAGGAAACAATCTTCAGGTACATGAATGGTTGTGACCGACATTATTTTTTTTATCTCTTTCCAGTAAAAATTGCATGACATCTTTTACTTTATCATAAAATCATACAATGATTTTGGATTGGAAGGCAAAAAAATCATTTTGTTCCAACCCCTGCTACAGGCAGAGGTACCTTTCTTTAGACCATGGTGACCTGAGTCCCATCCAAACTGGCCTTGACCACTTTCAGAGATGGGACATCTGCAGCTTCTCTGGGCAGCCTGTGCCAGTGCCTCACCACCCTCATAGTAAATTTTTTCTTTATATTTAATCTATAGTTACCTTCTTTCAGCTTAAACCCCTTGTCCTATCACTACGTGCCCTTGTAAAAAGAGCAATAAACATATTTCAACTGGGAATATTTCTTGTCCAACTGGGAATATTTCTTGTCTAACTGGGTTAATTTTTTTTAAGGCGATTCTTTCAGTATCAGATATGTAAAATTCCTTTATGAGGGAGACAAAGTATGACACAGGAATGCTTTAGATAAGCATAATGAACTTTCATCTTGTAAATGTGCTGTCTGCCGTAATTCTTGCCTGTGTCTGTTCATTGTTATTGGCTTTGCTATTGCCAGAACAGGCACTGCACACTGATGTAATCTTGTAGAATGGGGAGCGAGGTTTCTGATACATAGAAATGTGGTCGGGGAGTAGAGTATCTCAACCTTGCAAGTTATGATAGATTGGTGCACTTCCATGGATCATGACAGGAGTAATCTCCCTGACCTTGACTATGCCCCACATTTTTCAAAGTAGATGACTTGCTCAATATGATCCTGTAAAGTTCATAGAACCACAGAATATCCTGAGTTGCAAGGGACCCACGAGGATCAAGTCCAACTCCCGGCTCCACACAGCACCACCTAAAAAAATCAGACCTCCTTTCTGAGAGTGGTGTCCAAACACTCCTTGATCTCCAGCAGCTCAGGGCTGTGCCCACTGCCCTGTGCAGCCCATTCCATTTCCACCACCCTCTGGTGCAGACCCTTTCCCTAACCCCCAGCTGCCCTCCCCTGACACAGCTCCATGCCGTTCCCTCAGGCCCTGCCGCTGTCACACAAAGCAGAGCTCAGAGTTACTCCTCTGCTCCCAGTGAGGAGCTGCAGCCTCCATGAGACCTCCCCTCAGCTCGTCTGCTCTGTGCTGAACAAACCAAGGAGCCTCAGTCACTCAGATTTGTGAGCCTGATTCCAAATCCGTTTATTTCAGTGAGATCTGAATTATAAATCTAATACTCTACCAATTAATCTCACAGAAATATTTGAATAATCTGGCAGCTATTCCAAGAGTCCATCTGTTTAAAAAAAAATAAAAAAAAGTTTCTATTGTAAATCATAATAGAGTAATTTGATAAAATGTTGACCAATGTTCTAAAAATATAATTGATGTGCAACTTTTGTGCTGATGTCTTTAGCGACAGTCTCCTCAGATAACTATTCTCCTGCTTGTTGTTGAAATTCTATTTTCTACTTTTCTTTGCTTGCAAAGCCACTTCTTACATTGGACAGTTTTCTGGTGACGAGGTTTGCTGTGACAGGTGATGTCAGAGTGACAGTGCAAGCTTCCTGCGGGAACTCCATGCTACAGGATTCCAAAGTTGTCCACGTTTTTGGTGAGGCATTGCTAGTTCAATTTTTAATTGTTGTTTCATGTGTACTTGTGTTATGTATCTCTTAAACCAGTGCAGGCAGGACCGAACCTCTTGTAAGATTATGTCTAATGCCACATCTAATTTCTCAATTTAGAGGGATGAATTTTTACGTAACGCTGAGCAGTGTGGTCTTATGGAATGGTTTCACTTGAAACCTTTTGTTTCCTTTGCTTATACTAACTGTTACTGTGTTTCCCAAATGTTTTATGTAGCAATAACATTGAAATAGCATTTTTTCTTACGACTGTGGAGTTTGTTAGCATTTCAAAATACAGTCGTTTAAATACTTCTGGGAAAAAAAAATAATAAATTAGTTGTCTATAGCATTAAAAGCGTGAAATATTTTCCTTCTGCCACCACGTACAACCATTCCTTCAGCGTTTGTCTCAGAGTTTGAATTATTGCTCTTTTGTAAATATTGAGCTCTTCAATAGAAGAAGATGAACTTCTACTTTAGTTTCACATTATGCCTCACTGTGCTTTGCTGTGTCTGATAATGTACTGTCAAGGCATAATATATAATGAAAAATGTAGTGCTGGCAAATTTATTCTGTTTGCATTTGTGCTGTCACATGTGGGAATTGTGATATGTAAAAAAGTTTCATTGTAATGCAGAGCTAAAAATTCATGAAATACACAAATGAAACATATCTGTGACTTAAACAATGAAAGAGGATTCTGGTACTTCTGCTTTCAGCATACATACTAATTTAAAATAACGGTGACAACCACATTCATGTTAAATAGAGCTTTTACAAAACTTCTCATTTAGTAAGATAAATGGATTTAACATTCATGTAATCACAAGCGCACCCACTTTTTAAAAAAATCTTTAGACGTGTAAGCATTCTTAGTGAGATGAGATCGATGCCTTTGGTTTCCAACACCGGTTTTGCTGTTCATGTTCGGAAATCCTGATCTGAAGAGCAAGAAAGTACTGTTCATGAGGGATATTAAACCCTTGGAATAAAAAAAAACACATTGAAACAGAATTCTGTCCTAACAGTTATGGAAGAAGTGTTTGAGGCACTCCTGTGTTCCAGAGAATCTATTTCCCTCCTTTCTATTAACTTCCCCAGGTGATCTTCTAAAGAGCCTGATAGGAAAAAAATGATGGACTTTAGAGACTATTTGCTGAGGAATAGTCAATTTCTAGTATTTCAGATATTTGGGGCATTATTCAGATAAATGTTTAGGTATATCTTTTTTTATTATTTTATTTTATTTTATATATATTTTTAAGAGGGCAGTAGTTACCCTTTGGTATTTGGAACAGAATTTCTGTTTTGGTTTTTGTAGCTAGTCTATGAGATATGTAAAGTATCCATTTTGCATGAAAAACAGGAACATGTAAAACGTAAAAAACATGTTTATGATTCAGTGAGAATAGAATCCATAGGAACATTCCCATTAAAAATAAAAGAATCCAATCATATTTATGTGGTGTATTGTCTTAAAGAAAAAATTACTGAGAAGGTTACAACTCCAGAAGATGAATGCAAATCTATTTGGTTTGTTTTTTTTCCCCTACTGCATTTTAATCTCTAGACACAAATTTGATGATATTGATGAAAATGCAGAAAGTAATTGAGTGCCTGGCAGGAGTGTATTTTTGCTCCATATTACACTGTAGGCTCCTAGGGGAAGGATTTGTTTTTTTCCATTCCTCTTTGAACAGTGGATTATAATGGGGTTCCTAGATACTGCAGTCTGCATAGATAATGTGTGTGTATATACACGTATATTTATACATGTATGTATAAATGTAGGAAAATATATAAGTAGATAAATATATATGAAAATATATACAAAACTGTTTTTGGAATCAGATTGTCAGCGATTCAGAAGTGTTTCTTTTTGTCTTTCTAGATCATTTTCACGTTCTTCCTCTGAAGTTTACCAAGCACCTGGACACGTACAACCCCAACATACCAGAGTGGAGGGAAGACATAGGGCGCGTAGTAACACGACTTGTTGCAAAGGTGCTCTTTCAGATTGCTCGTAAAATGTTCCCTTTCCAGTCATAAAACTTGAAGGTTGAGTCAATGCCTTCTTGTTTTAGAAAAAAAACAAAAAAAGAGGCAGAGCAAAATAATAAAATGAACCTCACGAGCCATGTTTGAAACAAGTTTGAACTCCGTGTCACTTTTATGGGCAGGCTGTAGATTATGACATCATAGCTTGGAAAAGTTCAGTTCTAACACAGCGTAACTGGCAATTAATGCTAATTATTGCTCTCTGGGATTAGTGATAGACATATTGGCTAATACTGCTGACTCCAAAGCAAGAAAAGTCAGTTAAATGTGATATGTATGTAGGATATTGCATAATATAAAGACATAGTCTTTGTGAAGAAACAAAGCAGAGAAAAGAATTCATGATGTCAGTTGTGGAACTTCAAAAGTTATATATAACACATGGACAGACAGTTTGTACAGCTGTTTGGTTTTTTTTAGATCACGTTTGTAAAAGAAATGTGGACTGGGAGCAGTTGAATAATGTAGATTAAATCAAGTACAAAGCCACAGAGCAGTTCTGTGAGATAACTGAAGAGCTCTCCATAAAAATTGTGAGGTCTGGAGCTGTGCTGTCAGATACACACAGTGCTCACAGCAGAGTGTGCACGTTCAGACTGTCTGCGAAGACAGTACCACTGTGTTGCAGAGTGATGATGTCTTTAGAATGATTGTGTTTGAATTCAATGGACTTTTCCAAGATTTAAAATTGTGCAAATCAAATTTTGGTATTTTCTCTTTAAACAGTTTCCTGCTTTTCTTCTTTTAATCTCCATAACAAATGTCAAATTACAGTCCTATTTTAATCCATTTATACATTCTACAAGCACTATCAGTCTTAAAAATATTTTACTCTTTTATAAAATTGTGTTTGTTTTTTTTTTTTAATAAATACTAAATCATTTGTGAGACAATAGGAACAATCTAATTGAATTTCAGTATTTGTTTTGGGAAGGGCTATGGAAAATGCTGTGGATATTGTCATTAGAATTTTGTGGCTGTATAATGGGGGCTACTCCAAAAGTAAAGCCGTCTTTTTTTTTGTATGTTGGCCCCCAGTGTCAGAGGTGAATGTTGGCGGTATGGCAGAAGAGGTTGAACCTTCTGAGCAAGATTCCTTACATTTTGTTGCCATGTGACAGGTGGCAGTAGAGGGACAGGATGACAAAAAGGTGTCTGACATGGAAGTGTGAATGGAACGAAGTTGTGTCACTGAATTCCTCCTTGCAGAAAAAGATGGCACTCACTGACATTCGTCGATGCTTGCTGAATGCTTATAGAGACCAAACAGTGGATGTGAGCACAGAAAGGCAGTGAGTGATGCATTTCAGCAGTGGTGATAGGGGCAGTGGGTCATCCCTGCTGGCGCAGACTGTAACAAGCACAGCATGCAGGCCCTTGTTCATCACTAATGAAAATGCACAGTTAATAGTGGTGGCTATGATGAAAAAGAGTGTTTTACAAGACGCCGAGAACTCGCTCTCTCAAATAGTGCTATTGTACTCTTTGTAGCTGCTGTAGTTTCCATGGAAATAAATAGGCAGCATTACTTTTGGAGTTACTTATGTAACAGATAAAGCAATTTGGGTTAGACAACAACATTTGCACAAACTATTTTGAAAAGCAATGCATTTGTTTCATTGAGGGGTGCAGATATTCATACCAGGTTCAGAAAAGGAACCTAAGTCCTGTTGATCTCACCCTGGAAGAGTCTGTCCAGCAAAAACAGAAGGAAAAGTAGCCTCTCTAAGGTTAAGTTATCTATCATGAATATGCCCATCTAAGTCTACTAACTATCTGAATGGCCCACTAAGTCCCATCTGACTTAGGAATTAAAGTTATGCTAAAAATGCAAAGCTATTGCGGTTCTGCTAGAACTGTATGCCACTTCTTTTGGCTTCTTTCCATGGTGCCGTTAAATCTTTTTAAAGTGACAACAGTGCTTGGTTCTTCTAATCTTCAAAGAACCCCTCACATTTCAGCTAATTAATGCTTCACTTTGCTCACATTTTAGCTTCTGGTGGAATGTAACTATTAGAGATTTGAGTGCTAAGGAATTAAATACTCGCAAAGTATTACTCATCAATTTTATATAAAATACAAAGAACACTGTCATATAGTTTACCATATACCTTTGCCTTCACAGGAAACCAACATACCTGAAGAAACGCTTATGACAGTTGTGAAACCTGGTCTGCCCACAACTGCTGACTTGCACGTTCTCCTACCAGCAAATCAACCTAAAAGGAAGAGAAGTGTAACTAGTGATAAGGTAACCAGAACACTGTATGTCTGGTTAGAGCAGTCTTCATCCCATTTTGAAATCAGTGGCTGTACTCTCTTTTTTTTTATGTGGGATTAAAAGGTATAACTTGACTATGTAAAGATCTCTCTCCTATATGACAAAAGATATGTAAAAGCTGGCAACAGGTATGGCTGCCCTGCATGGCACTATTTACCCCACATTTTATAGTAAAGAATAAATTCTGCCAGTAGAGACAGAAGAGAAGAGGCAGAAGATATGATTAATTAATTATTCTACTAAACAATAGTCAATAATCTGCAGTAAGCCTTGATCCCTCTTGACACTTAAAAAAAAAAAAAAAAAAAAAGCAACAAAAAAGAGAAACACTAGTGATGATGACATATCAATCTGTGAAGATTGGTGGAGCAAAAGGGAGTGTTTCTAAAAAGAGACAAACCATTTCTTCACTTCTGTCCAACAGAAACAGAACCTTAACAGCTGACCTGTAATAGCTGACCCGAAGAACGTGAAGCGGGTAGTTTCTGCCTTTATCAGCTAATGCTCTTTTCAGTTGCCAAGAAGCAAATACAGTGAACAAGGCAATGAAAATATGATATTAACTTTTCTGCCCCTCTTTCCAAACCAGATATCTTCCATAATAAAAAGCCTGTACCTGGAGAAAATCAGAATATTGTTTGGCCCTTGCTTGTTAATTTACAGTTTTTGTTATTTGTCCTTTTGCTCTTATAGAGAAGGAACAAACCCAAGTCTGTGCCTGCTTATTGCAATTCAAGTCCTACCTGTTACAAAGAGTCTCAGTGTAAGATATTTTTAATTTTGAAGGGCATTTTACCACTCTATTAGACAACAATATTCAAAATGTTTGAAGTAGTAGAAAAGACAAAGCTCTCATAGTAACACAGTATCAGTAGATCGTTTATATTGTTGTTGTGGTACAATTGTGAAGGTCCAAATGAAAGTACTGATGTTGTCCAAGTGCCTGAACAGGTTTCTTACAGAAACAGTGTGTGAAGTAGATGGAGAACAGCGTGAATGCACAGAATATATCCTAAATCTTAATTACTTCTCTTCCTCTGTAATCATAATGGGAATTCCTAGGAGTCTGAAATCCTGGTTATACTGCAGGAAACAGTTAATTTTAATAGGTTGTTTCTTTTGTAGTGAGCTATTTCTGATCTCTGGCTTTTGTCCAGGCGAGTATTAGCACTTCAAAATTACTTGCATCTTTCTACTTCTTTAAGAGGCGAGGTGCAGCTTCTACATGAAATTATTTCACTTTATTCCAAGCATATTTGAATGGATATCTTTAATAATTTAAATGAACTGATGATGATTGATTCTTGGGTTCTGCAAACATTTCTGTGCAAAATGTTATGCATATTAGTTCACTTTACATCTCAGCTGTTATATTAGAGTTGTGCTTCAAGAAGAAGAATATAATTAATTGTAGTTGATGCTGTCTCCATTTTTCATTGTTTCTGTATGAAATACCCCATGAGTTACTCTGTAGCATAAGGAAGAGCAATCATATATTGCAAATTATTTGGGAAAACTTGTGTTTATATGCACTATTCACATAGGGTTCAAACCTGTGTTTCCTATAGACCTAGGTGGAAACCCAGGTGTAAGGTGAGAAGTAATGAACAAGATCTAATTGCTTGAGCAAAAACCAGAGCAAATGTTGGCTGTCTTGAATACCTGCCAGAAAATTACTGGGTTTTCAAAATTAAGCTACAAGACTCAGTAACTGAGTTTACTGATTGAAAGTTGGATTAGGCTAAAGAAGTGCTCCCTCTTGCCTTGGGTCACATGAATGTGTGAATGAGTCTTGACCAAGACTAAGTAACTCTATTTCAGTGGTGCCAACATCACTTTGAAGGCTTCTAGTCAATATTATTCTCATACTCATTCTCTTTTCAGACACTAGGCAAAAAGATAAATACTTAAGAGCTCTCTGGAATAATTTTCTTGTAAAATAACTGGGGCCATGTTCACATCACCATTAGATTGAGTCATTCCTCTGCAAAATATCTAATAAAGTCAGTGGAATGGCTTCAGAAGCTAAATGTTCCTCAATATGAGGGTGGATATTTGAATCTAAACCTTTGTGAAGTCTCTCCTTAACATGAGAGAGATGGCAGGGATTTCTATCTGTTATACTGCCAAGGCTTCTCAAAGATGAGCACCATAATTGGTAAAATGATAAAAAGAACTTCTTGTGAAGTTTTCATAGATATAAAGCATATTTCTCATTCGTCATACTGTGGGAAATTGTATCTTAAATTATAAGGCATAGACTGTAAAACTAGCTTTGATCTTTTAGAAAATTACCCATGTTGAAGACACAAGGAAGTAAAATGGCAAATTCAGCCAATTTGTCATCTGGAGTTAGAATACGATGGTATATTTAATGGTTCTGCTCCATAAAAATATGAGCAACCATATTTTAGTATGCTCTGCCTGTTGGAGAAAAATAGAAGAAATCCTGATTTTTTCCACATGAATGGACGTATATATTTCTTCAGAGTGTTGTTAAAAATTAGGCATAAATGGAATCCATCCCATTATAGCAAAAGAGATGACTTGAATTACGGCATGCAGTTCATTATGAAATAGCAGTTGCTTTTCATAGCAGGAAATCTAAAGTGACATTGCAGGTTGTCTTTTGATAGGGTTAGAAAAATTGATAAGAGTTTTTAATATGGATTATGCATTGTTTGAGTTATGACTGAGGTAGACCCAACAGTGTGTGCAAATATGCTGTCTGTTCACAGACTGCGTAAACTTAAAGGGTTTGCTAAGCAGAAAGACAGACTGGGCTATTAAAGATTTGACTTCTTCAGCATTTGCAGCTTGTGAAGTTTTGCATATTTTTTTTACTATGGAATTTCTTCAAGATTTCAGCTCTTCAGTGACAAGTACTTTCTGACTTTCTCTCCATACAATAAACCAGTGGTTTTCCTTTTCAGAGCATTGAGTCTCTCAAAGTAGAACTGAGTGAAAGAAGAGTGAGACATTCTCTCTTTTGTGTTTTCAGAGAATAGCGGCTATAAAGCAGGCCTTGAATGCACACAACATCAGTTTCTTTCTGCGGGGAGGATACTGGGTCTTAGTGACATTAGCAGACTCTGATTCAGGTAAATATATAAATAAAACTTTGGGTGCTTGTTAGATGGGTTAAGGAGGAAGTCTACATATCAGTATATGTACAAATGCATGTATTTACTTGGGGCTTATTGCATATAGACATACATACATATACATACATATATACATATAATGTTTCTGTGTGTATTTTTAGTTGATGCTTTTTAACAGTCGCCACCAAATAAATATTTATTCTGTAATTTCATTTTGTCATATAGCATTATTTGTATCACAAACTTCTTGCTGTTTTCTGTATGGCCAGGGAAGAGCTAACCAAGCTTCCAAAAAAACCATTCAGTAACCATCTGTGCTAACTTGCAAGAAAGCAGAGCTTCTGAAGTCCTTAACTCTGACAATATAACTCCACACATCTGTGACGTAGCATGGTATCACAGCGTGGATCCACAGATTTGAATCGTGCTGTAGGGTCCCCATAAAGTGCTGAACTGCTTGGTTAATGCTATTCTGAAAGGAAAGATCTGCCTTGTCTCTGTTTGAAACAATTGAAACAGGTTTTTTTGGAATTTATTTCCTCCAACTCTGGATTTATTCTTTAGATTGAAACTGGTGAAGGGAGTGTGAATTTTGAATAGAGTTATGTTAAAATGATGATTTAACTAGAAAATTGACTTCAGCTACATATTAAAATGCCCCATAGTTCATAGTTTTGTGTATCATTTTCATTAACATATTCTTGTCTCTTACTTGAATGTGTTGTGGGAAACAAGCTTAACTGACCCAATCTATTTATGCTAATACTGATGTGATACTTTATCAACTCTCAGTAGAAGATCAAAGTTTTTTTAATCTAGTCTCTTTAACGCAGAATCGTGTTACAGTTTCACTGTGGTACCTTGTCTGGTCAATATTGGAAACCACTTACGGGATTAATATCCATTTGCCAGCTCAAAAAGCTGGAACTGGAAGAATCCCACATTCATTCTAGCCTTTGCCATTGTATGACCTTGATGAGCTCAATTGCTGTTCCTAGCCCTATTTTCTCCATCTGCAAAATTAATAAAGCCCTGTTTTTGCATTGCATTTACGTAGGATATATCATCGTTTCCTTTGATATCTTTAGAATCCCCCATAATATGGATGACCTGGAAGAGGACATGCTAAGCAATTTTTCCATGTTTTATTTCAGACTCTCAAAGAATTGGAGGAGGCAGTGGCTACTGGGCTATTGTGATTCTCTTCGTTATCTGTCTAGTCGCAGTTGGGGCTTTCATCCTCTACAAGTTCAAAAGGCAAGTAAACTATGACATTCATATTTTGAGATCTGGACTTACCCAAAGATCAGCTAAACGGAGTTTGTTGTTTGGAAGGGAGGTTGAAGTCCACTGCTTTGAAAATCACATTTTTTCTGAACCTAGAAATGAAGATGCTGCATTGGTGTTTGGTTTTGCTTGCTGTGTTCCAAGATAAATAGCAGCAATATGCGAACTATGGAAGTTTGTTCAGCTTGTTTAAATAATATTGTCAAAAAAGATGATGCTATTCCTGACTAATTCCTACCTCATTACTCTTAGCAGTTACAAATAAACTAAAGTTATCAGGACAATAAGTACATCTGCAATGCAGTTTTGTCAAAAGGTACAACCCTGAGGAGTTTCTCTTTGCACATGTTACATTTTAAATGTTGGGACAATGCCACACAGATTAAGTGATGGAAATAGATTAGCATTAATTTGTCACTGCAGTGTGCTGAGGGTAGAAATCATTTTTGATGTGAGACATTTCCTCAAAAGTGACAATAGTTACCTTGCCTGCCTTTGACAGTCTGGTAGACCTTTAGTCCTCTTTTGGTTTTAATAATATCTACTTGCATGATGTGTGATCGAAAGGATTTTGTTCTTTTTTTTGTGAATTTGTGTTATTGTTGGCTATCTTCTTAGTATTTTCATATCTTTGGTGCATTGAGTTGCTATTGAGTTTGATAATACTGGAAACAAGCCTCCATTGTTATCAAATCTTTATTTAGCAAGGCCTTCTATTGATTTGTTATATTGTTTCAAGATGCATTTTTATTTGTAATAAGCATAAATTTATTGAAGTGAATGCGGCACTGAGTTTGTGATAACAGTAAGAGTAAATAGCATCTAAGAGTCTGTATAGGTGAGAGTTTTTAAATGAACAGAGAAAAACCTTTGCCGAACATCTCTTCATTTTCCTACTGCAGAATCCAAGTTGCTTGGAGCCCATGGTGACTGATTGCTCTAAAGGACAAAGCACATAATGCAGTATCAGACTGTTTGTAACTAAATAAAAATCCATTTCCCTATTTTACGTGCCTGCGGGAAGAAAAAGCATAAAAATGGTTGATGTGATGTAATTATATTATTTCAGTAGCAATACATGGAGGATTTGTTGCTTGTAGTATGGGATCATAAAACTTGCTTGTGATGTGTTTTGAAAGCAGTATGACTTATATCTTTTATTAGCTCTTAAATGAGAGCAATTAAATAACAGGCGCAATTACAGCATGGCAAAGGAAGTAGAAAATATGCAAGAAAGGAAGAAAAAAGAAGTGTTTTCCCTGAGTCCTTTTTAAAATGCTCAATGAGCCATTTCTTTATAAATAGATCTTTTATTAAGAAGGAAACTACAGTACCATTTGCAGATTCTGAGCCTTAATGTCTCACACACTTCCATATATAATTTGTGAAAATCATTTGCATTTAAATTTTGTGGGGTTGGAATTTGGGTGCAAGTGAGGAGAAATTATGATACATGTTCAAATGTTTCTCTGTAGCTTGAAAGTAGCTCCTGCCATTGATGAATATTTGGTTTTGGTCTGTATCATTTCTCTTCCTGAGATGTTTGGCACAATTTTTAATTATTCCTGCTAAGCTTTTTCAAGATGACTTTTGTTTTTTTCTAGTTGCATCTTTTTTTTTTTTTAATACAATTGGGTTTTCAAACAATAGTGAGAGCTTAATTGGTGTTCAATCGGAAAAGTCACTTTTTCCCCATGTGTTCCCCATGAACTCCTCTCCCACAAATGTCTAATTCCTTAAAAAAATATTTCCTGTGTTTATGAAGACTGAAATTAAATTGCTGGATCCCCATGGAGTATTTACTTACAAGTGCAATCCCTTTAATGTTGGAACCGAGTGTGTAGGTTTACAAACTGGCCCATGGGACTGAGGTTATGAAACTGAAATGTCTTTTATTACTTATAAGCCAACCTGTAATGCATGAAGGCTTGTCAGTGCCTATATATTAAGAATTAATTTGCTGAAAGAATGCTATATTTAACAAAAATCGTTCAAGTTTCTGAGATAATTTCAGTGGAATAACACTTTCTGGGCCCTCAAACAACACATGAAAGTATAAATACTGATTATTTCCACATAGGAATTACAAAAATATATAATGTGTTGAAGTGTTAATGCTGTCCATAATTTTTATGCATGATTCACAAAATTGAGGCAGAGATGTAACACATTTGGCGGCCCTTTCCTTTCAGTTATGTAACTGATAGTCTGATGCTCCTTTCAAAAAAGTGCTAAAATTCTTTTTTCTTCCTCCAGATTCAAAGAAAGGTTTATGAATCTTAATTTTATCATTACACTGTTTGGGCCTACAGATCTTGCAGTTTACCTTGGGGAATAGGAAATGCAGGCTGTCCAGAAAAGACTGCACAAACATGGCTTGGATTACTGTCTCTCTTTGCCAGCCCAAAGAACTTTTCTTTACTCAATGTTAAATTTGGTACTTGAAAAGATTTCCCAGTGAATGAAAATGAAAAATAAATTTTAAATTTTTAACGTTGATATTTTCTAAAAACTGATTCTAGGAGGTGGACTCGATGATCCTTATGGGTCCCTTCCAACTTGGGATATTCCATGATTCCAGTCTGAACCTGCTAGTGAACAAAGTTTGTTTCAGACATTCTGGGGGGGGGGATTTTCAGTATGGCAGTAAGATGCTAAAACTTGCTGTGGCTGTCACACAAGGCAGCAAGCATGAATATTGGATAAGTCAAGAATAATTTTTCTTTGCTTTGCTCTTCCTTTCTGAGTATGGAAATCACCAGTCTGATGCCTCAAGCAAACAATATGTTACAACACTCAGTAGTATGCTTCAACTGTTTAACTATCCAGGTAAAAATGGACTACAGCTGCTTCTTCTGACAAGAACAGTATGAAACAGCTGGAAAATATTTTAGAGATCAGGTTTTTTTTAAACAGATCAGAGACCTGCATATATTGTTTTCTATACCATCCCATCTTTGCTAAATTTGGTTCAGTAAAAGAACATATCATCTATTCCCTTTAAAACAGTGTTTATATTTTCCATGGGTTTCGTGTCGTCATCCAGAAAGGATTTTTTCATTCTTTTCTTCCACACTGGGGGGCCCTGGGCAATGACGTAGAGAAGGCAAACAGCACTGTCTGAACTAAGCAAAGTAGAGGAAAGGAAAATTGTATTTTAGCCACATCAAAGCTGCCATATAATCATGTTACTAGTGGAAGATGTGAAATCATTCTTTTATTATTTTTTACTTCTGCATAACAACAGTATATTGGATTAACCAATTCAGAGCAGATAGGCTGTGTTTCTGCATAGGAACTTTACTTGGTTAACAGTAACAAATTCTATTCCCTAAAAGTGTGTGATAATATTCATCTTTTAATTAGTGTGCAAACTACTGCCTGTACCCTAAAACTGAATGCTGTGTTTTCATAAATCTCTGTGAGTCTGCTTCAATTAAATTTACATCATTTTATGTGTAATTCTTTTTTATTCCTGGGACTGTCTAATGCCACTTTTGGTAAATGAACCCCCTCTTGGGTCATTTCTACAACGTGGAGCAGAACTGTTATCTTTCTGCCTCATTGACTAAGTATCTCATTTTCAGCCTCTGAAGAAAAGCTATCTTTTTTCCCCCACCTTGCTTATACTGTTTTTATGTTCCACGAGAGCAAGTTTAGTCCCAGTCCATGCCACTTAGTTTTATATACATATATATATATAAAAAAATATAAAGGCACTAATTTAATGGTCTGTAATATTTCATAAAAACTTCCTCAGAAATCAAAATAATAGCATATATAAAGGATTTCCAAAATGAAAGAGGCGATTAAGTCAGGTGTGCCTTAAAGCACAAAGAAGTCATTCATCTGAACATTAATCCAAACGTAGTAAAGCCTGCACCACAATAAAATATTCCATTTAATTGATTATTATTGTTATTAGTTTTATTTAAATTCCAAAAGCATGAGGCATTATTCTATATATTTTGCCATGTGAATATGTTCCTATTTCTTAAACTAAACAGAATCTTAAGCCTCTGGAAAATGAGTGAAGCCATGTAAAGGCCAATGAGTATTTGTTCCACAAGGTGGGAATTGAAAGGCAAATAAATTAGGGAGTTTAAATCAGTAGGAATCAATATCTCATCCCCCTCCTGCTGTTTCATACTGCTTAACAGTTTTAAGTGCAAGCAGTTTCTGGTATGAACTGGTTAGAATCTGTGAATGCAGTAAGCCAATTGCTTTCTCAAATATCTTCTAAAAGTTGTGTGACCTGAAGGGGTCAGTCAAAGCCATGTGCTGGGACGTTCCCATTCGTATTTTTATGGTCCTCAAAGCAGGCACGAATATTTCTTCTTCCTCATGATTGAAATAAAATGCTACAGAGAAAACAAAAGGAGCTAAAAATGTAAACTGTGGAGCCCTGTGCAGCAGAGATAATTGTCTCCAGCGATGGATGCAAAGCACATGCATTTTACAGCTGAGGGGTAACCCCCCAAATAAACTATTGCATGATCTTACTCTCTGTTCTTATAAATGTGCTTTCAATTTTCTTATTGCTGATAGTAATCTCTTGGGTCACATTTCATGTCTTGTCATGTTTTCACAGTAATCTTTTATGTAGACCCAAGCATTTCAGCTCTGCCTACTTCAAACAGTTACATTGGACTCAACACAAATTATTTCCTTAAGAAGAGCAAAGCACATCAGGGTACACACATCTTTTTTCTGTATAATCAGAGGTAGCAGCTTCCTTGGGGGTTGGACTCGATGATCTCTGGAGGTCCCTTCCAACCCCTACGATTCTGTGATTCTGTGATTCCTTCCTACAAGTTAGATCAATGTGGAGCAACTGGAAAATTGCTGGAAGCAGACCTATCTTTTGCAAAGATTCAGCATCCCCATCCAGTTTCATCCCACAGTGTGGTTGTCTCAAGTATACAGAACATCTGGCACATGATAAAATGCCTCTTAAAGAGACTTGTACTATCATTTTCTTGAGCCTGGTGGAACTTTCTCCTTGTAAAACTTTAACCAATATGAAACACGTAGAGATCTCTATGGTGAATAAAAGGTCAAATGCCTATGTATGCCTGCACAAGACCTGTAAAGTTCCTCCTCCCATCATACTCCTTGTTAGAATCTAAGATACTACACTGAGTACCTGAACTTCATACTTTCCATGAAGGATCTATACTGAGCAACACTGGGCTCACGAGGTTTAGGTGAGTGAGAAATATCAGCATATGCCTTTTCTCCTTTTATTTATAACCCATAAAGAAGTGCTCTTAACAATGGTGAGTTTAATGTTCACTTGTAAACTTGCACATTTAATAGTATGTATTGGGGTGACAGTGTTTTGGATGATGTGTAAAGACTAGTAAGTTTTAACACATACACAACTTGAAGCCTCAGGATTTACACCAAAGGATGCACCCTGTTGACCTGGTTTCAGGCACATACTACAGCCTTAGAAAATCCAGGCAGATAACAGTCAGATTAGCAGCTGTTCTCGCTGTAAAGGTCTGGTGTGACATATGGGTTTGAGGTAGATAAGATTTTTATTATGTCCAAAATATCTTGATAATGCCATTGATGCGTCTAAAATTTGTCAGAAGTACAGCTTCGAGAAAATCCCCCAGTTCTTGTAGAAACATATGTCTAATTCTGCAGATGTGCTGCAAAGACATTCTTCTGAGTTTTGTTTCCCATAGGAATTTGGTGGTGTACTGAAAGGAGAGAGCAGTTTGACAGACTGGATGCAAGTCTGATTGAACTGAATATTGTTTTCCACATGACTAGTTTCATTAGCAGACACATAATAAACTGTCTGAAGTTACTGGTCCTAGAGAATAAAAAAAAACCACAATGAATTACCTAATGTATTTGGTTTTGTAATGAGGTGTGTCCTTTCTTTTACAATGGCTTTTTTAACCCAATTAATGGGAGGAGAGCAATGCAGGGATTGGCTTTGTTAGTGTTGGAGAAGCCTTCAGATTTGCTCAAGTACCAGATTAACATTGTGCTATCAAACACTTTATCCATCCCTGTCATTTGCATTTGGTTGTACCTGTGCTTTATTTTATTCCATGCTCACTGAGGTACAGAAGAGTAAAACCAATTAGATTTCTTTCTCTGTGCTGCTCATAAATAATGCAATAAAATATCTGATTTATATATATGAAGGCTGCTCTGAAAGTAATTTTTTTTTATGTTGGCCAACAAGATCAGAGGTGAATGTTGGTGGTATGGCAGTAGAGGTTGAACCTTCCTGCCAGTATTCCATTACATTTGTTGCCATGTGACAGGTGGCAGCAGAGGAACAGTCTGACAAAATGGCATCTGACATGGAAGTGTGAATGAAAGAAAGGTGTGCCTCTGAATTCCTCCATGAAGAAAAAATGGCACTCACGGACATTCATTGATGCTTGCTGAATCCTTATAGAGACCAAACAGTGGGTGTGAGCACAGTGAGGCAATGGGTAAAGCATTTCAGCAGTGGTGACAGGAGCAGTGCATCATCTCTGCTTATGCAGACTGTAACAAGCACAGGATGCAGGCTCTTTCTTGTTCATCTTGTTCATAGCTGTGTTGAAAAAGAGTATTTGGTAGCTAACAATTTGCTCTATCAAATAGGGTTATTGTGTTCTTTATAGCTGTTGCAGTTTCCATGAAAATAAATGGGAGGTATTACTTTGGGAGCAAGCTGTGTGTGTATATATGTATATGTGTATATATATATATGTATCTATGTGTGTGTGTGTGTGTACACGTGGCTATCCAGATAGGTATCTGTACATACATAGGTACAGATAGAGAAGATGCAGTTCATCTCTTGGTTGAAATCAAAGGGAGAACATCCCTTCTACTCATGTTTCAGTTTAGCAATTTCTGTTTACTGTAATTATTTGTGATGTATTGATGCTTATTATCAAATCAAGATGCTGCAGAAACTTTTATCTCAAATTAAAAAGGTGCCACTTGAAATAGAACCTTTCTTCTGAAATAACATTTAAACTCAAAAGCCAAAGCACTGAAACACATGTATTTTTCCTGTTATCATACTGCTGCCAGAATATAGAGGAGAAGATGGTCACTTTTAGAGAGAGAACCAAGAATTACTGTCAATCTTTCTGTCTTTGCACTGTAGCTGAAAGAGCACAGCAGAAACTCCAGCTTAACCTCAGCAGTTCAACCTCATATTCCATTTTTTTTTGTCATTGTTGCCCATTGTAATGATTCGTGTTTGAGCATGGACTTAGCCATGATCTGTTGTCACACTGATTGACCTGTCAGGCTGCTGTTTGCTACATGGAAACAGAGCTCACAGCCTGCGTCTCCCTAATCAGAAGTATCTGCTTGGTGAACAGGAAAGGATGCTCTCATGTGCCCAAGCTGGTTTCAGATAGCAAAGCTATAACAGAGGCCATGGCTGCCTAGGAGTGTTTAAACTATAAATTCTGTTCCAAAATTAGGAGCTTCTGATTTCTTCCTCTTTGATTTTTCAATTCTCACATAAGTTAATCTAGTTAAGAACTCTTTATTAATACTTATTTAAAGCTTTCCAGGTTCAGCTATAGTGCTAATTGTCCATTGAAACCGATACAGCCATTTCATAGCACACTTTTTGTTTTTCTAGATACAGTTCAAAGTGGAGGAATTAAACACTGTCTTCCATAGAAAGCTTGGTCTAATCCATCATTTCCCAGTACTGCTTCAGTGCTGCCTGCTTATTTCTACCCAGCCTCTCCTGTGAGGAGGCAACGATGTCTTCTTACTCTCCCATACATATGCTGGTTTACCTTCTTACTCCATACCCCTTGCTCCTAGACTCTGGTGTGTAGCCCTCTGCTCCCTTTTCATTCACTATCTGCTGGATTTCTCCTGCTGCTTTCCCCTCAACCCTAGTACAGTGTGGGAGTGTTACTGAACGCTAACCTCCAGTGTCAGCCCACCTTGATTGGGGAGGTAGGCTTGAATTACTGTGACTCAGCTTTAATGTTTGTAAAGCTGTCTGAAACAAGGAATAAATGCCCGTTGGGTCTTTTTACTGCTTTACTTTCTAAAAATAGTCTTTCTGTGTTTTCAGTTGTTTTTGTGTTTTTTTCCTAGCAGTCTTAGTAAGAAAAATTGATGCTTAAGTCTTAAGCTGCTCTGAGCATCCTTGTGAGGCAGTTAAAAAAAAACTGTGGCTGAGAATAATTAGTTGATAACTTTAAGTTAGGAACATAAAATTAAGGGAGAGTGTAACTGGTCCTATTGTGTGATTCTAGTACAACTTCTTGCTGCTGCAGGTCTTCTCTGTTGTCAAAATGTGTGTGGCATGAAGGAGTTCCATCACAGGACTTTTTTTCCTTGTCTTATTTAGGAAATTACCAGGCAGGAATGTCTATGCCCAGATGCACAACGAAAAAGAGCAAGAGATGACAAGCCCTGTTAATCATAGTGAGGACACCCAGAACATCATCCAGGGTGAGGAGTTTATTGATGATGATCTGGACTCTCAAACGCTAGGTAACGCAAGAGGTAACTTCATTTTTAGTTCATACATTTTTGTAAGTAATTCATTTTTACTTGATGTTCATTTTCATTGTAGCTTTTTTTTTTTTCTTCTCATCATCATTTTCTGCTCAGATTTGGGAAAAAGCAAGTAGCACACCACTAACTATTATCTCAATTATTTTCATTTTGCTTGCTTGTAATACAGATTAATGTATGGTTAGGCATGCTATACAGAAGCACAAGTACGGAGGCAGTAGAGTTTAATGTCAGAAGACTTACTCAGGCAATTTTTGGGAGAAAATATATTTCATAGAACAGGATATAATTGGTAGCATTTGAATTAGCTCAAGAATTCCCTCCAATAGTAAAAAATCAAATGTTTGCCAGTAGAATTTGTAGAGTCAATGTTTCCATTATTTCAGATTGTCTCTAGATCCATTGCTACATTTGCCATTATATTCCAGTGGCATTTAAAATTTTCATTATTAAAAACATTAAATTTATTCCTGTATTAAAAATATTATGAGCCTTCCTCTTTTAGCTGTTAATTTACTAGTATTCATGGGGTGGCCATAAAGAACCTTTAAGACAAACTTTCTGTGAAACTCTGAGCAAATGATTTCAGTGTCAGGTAGAAGTGTATATCCTGGCTCCCTGCGGTTATTTTTAATGTAGCGTAGAGTACTGATGTGTTAAGTTCATTTCCTGTAAAATGTACCATTGTGCTCAGAGTGTGTTTGGGTCGCAGTTTGAAAAGTGTAGGACAATGGAAAAAGCTCTCCAGTTCCATTCATACAAGTCCTGTGAAAATAAATCAGATAACCCAAAGCCTCTGGTATTTGTGACAATCCTTTCATGGTGTAACTGGCAACTATGATGTTTTCATGAACCCACAGAAGGGCATCTATATTAGCTGGGCGAGAGGTACCCTGAGGTAAGAGAATCATGGGAGAAGAGAGATTTCTTTGATGCGGATTTCATCTTTTTGTTGCATATAACTTCATTTTCATTTGCTGAACCTCATGCTACTTCAAGGTTCTTGGATATATTATTTTAGAATACAGTGGAAGAGTCTGTCCTCCTGCTTTGTTGTCTTTGTATATTTCTCTATTTTCTCTGACAAATAGTGTATATGAATATCACTGTTTTCATTCACATATTGTAAGACCTTTTTTGCACTCTTGACTCTATTGAAATTAGTTCCAAGAACAACCCTGGAAAAACAAAGTCTCTGTTAAAATTGTTTGATCAACCTATCTCCAGAGTCTTTAGAGAAGGCGGAATGCTAACGAAGTCCATGCAGACATTTCTGTTAAAGTGAAACATTCAAACACCTCCAGTAATGTGCAAAAATATAACTTTAAATGGTAGAAAATCCTTTTTAGTCTATTTATAGAAGGCAGCTCGTGATGCTGGAATAAAGAAAATCTGCCCTCATTTGTGACACATTGGGAAATAATCTCTACTTGCTTATTGCTGGCTACATAAGCCTGATCCTGCACTCCCTACACAGAGAAAAAAAATATCACGTATCTGGGCAGAGTATTGTTAAGGTTAAAGGGTGCAAGATCACAATGTTTTGATGTGAAACTTAAGACAGTTAGCAAATGCAGCTCTTGAGGTGATTTGTGCTTCTGCCAGGTTGTCAACACCAAAAGCATTTCCAGCAGAGCGTAAAAAGTTCATTTCTGTGGATCCTAATCATCTATATTCATCAGCTACTGTACAGCTTCAGGTTTTAGACACAAGACTGTATTTAAGACAGAAAACTGTATTTCAGCTCGCTGTACCATTCTGTTACTTGTAACACGTTCTACTAGGTCCGAATATCACTCATTATTGGCAAGAAAATATTCCTGTTCTGTGTTACCTGAGTAGAGTACAAAACATGTTGCAATCTGTGCTTTATATGAAATTCTGTTTTACAACATTATTTGCAGAAGGTTCCTATGCTGTGGAGATCCCTTCTAATTCTGGTGATCTTTCTCCCTCCCTGTTGGGAGAGGTCTGTAACAGCCTCCGCTCCATGCACAGCAGGGTTTTGCAGGCCTAGCTTTCTGTTGTTCTCTCTTCTCGTAACTTTTGACTTTCTGCAGTACAATATTTCCAGACTCACCCATCCACTTTTTTTGTTTTCTATATATTTTATGTTGCCTACTTTATCGCAACCCCCACCTTGGGACTCCTCAACACCATTACCTTGCAGTGACTCCTTCTGGGAGAAGTGGCAACTTGAACAGCTACAGAGTTCCCCTATTGCTGATGCCGGTCAGTGTCCAGTCCCAGGTCAGTGGCATGTTGAATGGATGCCTCAGGTGCCATTCTCCTCCCTCACCTGCACCCCTCGAGACAACTACACCTTTTTAAGCTGCAAAGGGAACCAACTTATGCTGTCACTGGGATAGAAACCCTAGGAATTCACCACAAATTCACCACCATGAGCAAAAGCTTTAGGTGAAAGTATCTTGTAGGTACATGGAGCTGTTGCACAAACCTTCACCTGATCTGTTGTTTGATAAAGACACTCTGTGTATGTGATTGACTTGTCCCTGCAATAAAAAGGGGATTTTTGTGAAGTACCTGAAATACGCTAATGCTGTCTTTTTTTTTTTTCCCCCCTCTATTTTCATAGGCAATCACTCAGGCGTGGTTTTGAGCATCAACTCCAGAGAGATGCACAGTTACCTGGTTAGCTGATATTTACAGCTGAACGCAAAAACCGAAAGACTCTTCTCTGTATCGTTTTATTTTTCCCTGGTGATGTCACAAAATTACAAACATGGCTATAAATGCTGGTGGAGAGAAGGTTCCCTAACAGTCCCGTGGAAAAAAAACGTCCATCGTCAGTTACTGGTGGAGGAGGATGCACATCTTGTGTTCACTAATGGCCTGAGAATTTGTTATTCAAACTCAAACTACAGTAGCAAATGTGTAGCCCTGAGCACATTCAATGCCACCTTCTTTCTTTCCTGTATAAGCTCTAGTTCGCTGTGTTTATTTTTAGGAGAATTGACTGTAACTTTTTAATTGTAATTTTAATTGAGGTATTCAGCAGAAGGATGGGACTCTTCAGCTTGAAAAGGTGATTTCTAAACCATGACTGGACCAGAACAGGTGCTGGTTGGTCTCCATGACATGGTTTCAGAGGGCTGTAACAGCAGTGGTTCTATACTGGGAGAGGACTGAGCAAGGAGCTGGATGTGCTCCTAGTCAGTACAAGCTCTTAACTTAAATACATGTGAGACAATCTAAGGAATTTAGGCCTAGGCCCTTCTGTGGATTAAACGAAGTAAAGTGCTAAATAGGTTATCTGATAATTGTAGGATAACACTCCTTTAAGTGTATCCAGTCCTGACAAACCCTCAGCACCAGTACCTCCCCCAATCCCACCCATGTATGAGATAAACACACCAGCGTGAAGCTTTTCCCAGACCAGGTGCCTTCACTTAGGACGGTCATTTCAGTTGCTCTCCTCTTGTCTTCTGAGTGAGCACCTCCAGGATAATGACAGCTGCCAGAGCAGTTATCATGTAACAACCCATGCTGATGGCCTGTCTCTTTTTAAATTTCCTTAGAGTGTAAATATGTCTTCATGGTCACTTTCTTTGTAGGATTATTTTATTAAGACTTGCTGTTAGGGCAGAGATGCTGGGAAGGTGAGAGCCCTCCTCCAGTTCGGACAGCACAGTTCCTTTCCTACTCACATCTTGCCTTGGGATTTCAACTTTGGAGGCAGGGATGGGCAAACTCATACCCAAACTTCTCCATTTGTGTTGGTCTGACAAGCCAGAGGGCATGAGGAGGGCCTGTATCAGTGGTATCAGGTCCGTGCTTCCTTTCTCTCACCACAGGGTGTCACTCGGGCCCCACCACAGCAGTGGTCCCAACTTGTGCAGGTTGGGCAGGGGGTTTAGTAGGGCGCTTCTCTTGGAAACCTACATAATCTCTTCACTTTTTGCCTTCAGAGAGGATAAATAGCTCTTTACTCACTGAATGTCATGCCAATGCTAGTGATAAGCTCCCACACCACCTTGTGTGCGGGGGATTCAGGTAGCTAACTGCATCTGCCTGAGAAAACAAGCAGTAAATAGTGAATGCTGGCAAGACACAAAAGAACTGTCTTAAAATTACCCCATGCATTGGAGTCATTCTTCTGCATAGCTGTGGATATCCTAAAGCATATGGTTGTCAAATGCAGCAGAGTGGGATGTCATAATTCAGTGCAGTAGTGTGGGCTCTCAGAAACCCCACAGGATGTATGTGTAAAGCACAAGAAAATCTTGTTTAGAAACTTCATGTGATGACCTGGATGAAAAAGTTAAAGATGCTGAAAAATACTGCAGACTCCTCAGGAAAACAAATTCAAACTTCTTTCCAAACTTTCTGCCTACATAGTGGTGGGGTGCCATGCAAACTGACCCAAAGAGAAGCAATGCTCTAGCTAAATGTTGTGTTCAACAAGTGTGTGCATAAATTCAAGATGTTATGTGGAATTGAGTCTGCGTTTCGCAAAGAGAAGTGTGATATAGAATGTGCTGTGCATTGGAAACCTGGTTGCACCAGAGGCTTCCCCTTCTCTCTAGCTTTTTATGTGTTCTCTGGTGGAAATGAGCTGGAACAGACAGTAAAATAGCATTGCAAACAGCTTGCTTGTTCCTGTGAAACGAATCTGAAGTGGGCATGGAGCAAGTGAGTAGGGGGCTAGTCTCCTGGTCAAGGAATGGGATGGAGATCCAAGCACTGGAATTGCTCTCCCACTGCTTGTCTGATTAGTTAAAGATGATGCTGGAACTGAGTCACACATCTGATCTGTTCTTTAGCAGCTACTTTCATACATTTAAAACAGGGTGATTTGTGTCTCTGATAACAGCAGTCTTTTGGAAAAGAGTAGAATATTTAACCGCGCGGTACTCTAATTAACACTTAGCACAATATAGTGCCTGTAATAATGTTTTTCAATGCTAATTAATTTGATTCATGCAGCGTTCCTGCGAGGTTGGTTTGTCATGTCTTAAAAGCACTGTTTTCTAAAGAGTTGTCAGTATTGTTATAACTGTATTAGCAATATCCAACAGATAATAAAGTAAGCCTTTAGTTCTCCGGCAAGAATAACTTTAAAAATGACTTATTTTGAAACTGAGAAAATGCTATTCCTATTTTCCCATTTGCGGTTTATCTTCAAATGAAAATCAATGTGAGGTTTTGAATCTCTTGAACTATGTCCATGACATGTATATATGTATATATGCCTTAAAATGCTTTATATATATATATATATATATATGTATCTCCTTTATGTAAGTCTGGTTACATGCATATACAGAAACAGAGTTCTTTCTTTGCATAAACACCAGGTACATCTGCGCACTGAGTACACACGGTGTTCGTACACACTCCAGTGTTAGTGAGGAAGGGTGATTAGCTAAGAAACAGAAGATGGGTGTCACACACCTGGATTCTGTACCCAGGGCAAATTACTTAACCTGTATGTGCCTCAGTTTCCCCACCTGTAAAATGGAACTGATAGTAATTACCTACCTCACAGCGGTATTGTGAGGCTAAATCAATTACTAATTATTCAGGATCTTCAGCATGAGTACATAATATTAGTAGTCTTGCTTCTTTGTTTTACTTATAATGATTGCTGTTATTTAAAGACTACTGAAACCAACCACAATTATATGTAAAAATGTCTGTAATCTAAACAGGTACTGTTAAAAATACAGGTAACTGTTAAAAATAATTTAATTTGATTTGAAAGCTGTTACTGGACCATATTGTTATGCAGTAGCATTGCAGCATTGGCTGTGATCTTCATAATTTGCATTCCAGTATCTTAAACTTCCTTTTCTGCAGTGTTACATGGTCAGAAGTCTTATATTAATGGGTACAGTGCTTTCTATCAGTATTGACAGTGGACTGTACTAAAACCAAAACCAACAAAACTGGTATTGTATTGGCATCATTTAGAACTTGTGGTCTTCTTAAATCGAACCTATTTGCTATTTCAAAAACACCCAGTACTTTTCAGAATGCTCCACTGAGTGCTGTTATGAAGCATGCTTACACAGCCATCAAGATTTATAGTTGTTAGTGGTGGTTTTCCTTTTGACACTGGATGTTTGAGATGGCTGTAGGGTGATCTGTTCAGATAATGTGCTCAAAAATGCCCTAAGACATCTAGTGACACGCACCCACCCCCAGTGTAAATTAATTTCTTAAAAATAAAAGCAATATAAACGAATGTGTGCTTTAATACCCTTTAAAGAGGGTGGTGGAAGTGACTGTGAAGAAATAGATGGTGTGAGCCTGAGGCAAGCTGCTGTTATAGCTCCAATTCACATCCAATTTCTTTGAACTCTGTGAGGATATTTTCATTGAATTATATCATTCTTGATGAGTTTTCTGCTTCCCTTGGCCAGTGGGAAGAGTGAAATGTTTGTTCTCATACAGCAATTTGTTTCATGATTGTCCTCTGGACAAAGGCATATCACTGGTTTGCCATTATCAGTTCAAAGCACAAAGCAGATTTCAGGTGACATTACTACGTTGGTTATCTGTATTTTAAGTCACTGAGAAATCCCTTTAGTGGGAATACTCTATAAGTCCATGCTGCCTCTGTAATAGAGGTTAGCAGAATGGAACTGCATTGGTTTCTATCCTCCTTACACAAATACACTTGTGTTTTTTTGTTTGTAAGAAATGAAATGCATTTGTTTGCAGTAACTTTTTGATAACAAACCAGTGATTCTGATATGCTTTGAATTTTTGATGTTATGTAAATTTGAATATGATGTTGCTAAGTCAGTAACAGTAATGACAATTTCAGTTGAAGATGTTCCCTTTGTTTCCTATAAAACTGTGCTGTAAGTTTTTTTAATGAAGCTCTTGGGGGAAAAAGAGACTAAAATTTTTATTTCATTGCCAAATCATTTACATTTAGAGTTGCTTTTTATATGTTGATTGATACTGCTCTGTTTTTTCCATCTTCATTCTGGCTTACCATCAGAAAGAAATTTATAACCATTTACCTTTATAAATATATTCTTTTGAGATGCAGAACCTTACTGGGTATCCCAGATTGTCCCTAATGTTCCTTCTTACATTTCTTTCCCTTTTCTAGACCCAATTGCATATTTCTTCTACTTTTCTTTCTGAGAGTGGCATATAACCTAATCACACTTCTCTGTGAAAATCTTTCTAAAACTCACATTAGAATAGCATTTAAGTGCCTAGAAGTAGTTAGAGAGTCTGCTTAGAATGCTTTCAGAATATTAAGTCTATATTTTCATATTCATTATTTGCTTTCATTATTTGCTTTCAGGATTAGCCCTCTGATGCTGCTTAAGTGTTTATTCTTTTCATGGCTACATGTATAATGTTTTTCACTTACTTTCAGGTACAATCATCAAGTGACAATTTTTGAAGTACCTCAGACCCCCAGTTAGCTTTAGCAATTACGAGCTGAAGCCCTGCAGTCTTTGACAAATGTCAAGTTATGCACTCTTTGTTTTTTAATAGTCCTTTACAGGTCAGCCCTGCAGGCTGGCATACCTCTGCAGTTTTCTTCCACTCTTTTTGCTGCCATAGCGGACAGGAGTTCAGAAGGGTTTCACCATGCCAACAACAGACCCATCTCAGAGTTGAACAGGAACCATTCTACAGACTCATTTATAATTTTTTCTACTTTCTTTTCAAATATTTTGCATAAAGTGTGGAGGATGATACATACCATCAGGGAATTGAAGACTGGCCATCTGCACAAATGATACTTCAGAATGGTCTGAAGGCAAAGCAATATATTCCTTTTGGAAATTCCTTTTTTTTTTTTCTTTCCTGAAATTGATGTACATACAGCAAGTTGGATAGTCGGGTTCAGTTTTTGTAATATGCAAGGTCGTACTTCCTTAAGTCTTCAGGCCTTGAATTTTCCTCCTGTTAAATGGAATAGCAAATTACTTAAAATGTGAATTCTGGAGCTATGTTTAACTGAATATTTACATTCTTTTCATTTTTCTCTCTTTTTTAAAATTTAGGCTTGCCATAATTACTATTTCCAGATACTTTTTGTGCCACTAACATGACATTCTTTTGGAAAACAGTATTTAAGACAAGAAATACTGAAAGGGTTAGAAATATGCCTTCAGAAGTGCAACTAGACAGCCCTGCAGGCAGTGATAGGCTATGAGTATGCTGGGCGTAACAAAATCCTTATCAAAGAGCTGTTATGGTTTATATTCAAATATTATCATTTTTAATAATCTCTCTCCAAATACATTCTTAATTGCATTCTCTTGCCTCTCTCTTCGTTTAGGTGAAATTTCTTTTTAGGAAAGACATTTAGTAGTCCTTCTGAAAAGTATATTCTTTCCCTAATGCAAGTAATTCAGTTCAGAATTATTCCTGGCAGTACTTGGAAAGCGTTACATAAACGTGAGCTTTATTAGCCAGACTTGATTTCTGAGTTTCTGTAGAATTTGCATTTTTATGCCAGTTTGTTGCAATGCAGTTGGCATGAAGCCGTGTTAGGCAGCAATAATATGTGCAGACTGTATTCTTTGGTTGCCTATATTTTTAATGGTATGATGAATATATTGATCATCAGTAAGTTCAGGCATTCGAAATAACTTTCTTAGCATATCATATATTTCTATGTTATTTGTTCATAGTTTTGTCCACTTATTCATTTCTTACTGAAACTTTGATCTTGTAGATCAAAAGGCAAAATTGTCTTGTTCTCTTTAAATATATACATATGTATTCATTCCCACCATTTGCTTATTAAGTTAAAACACTTCAGGAAGTGTTTTCACCACTAAGGTGGTGAAAGAGTTGCTCATACAGAAGAACAGCAGACTTGTATCCACATGGCTTCTGATACGGGCACCTTGTTATGGATTGCAAACAGGCAGAGCTACATAGGAGAAGTGTAACATCCCAAACATCACTCGTGCACATAGGCAATTCACAAGTGATTAAAGTAGCACTTTAAATGCCCTGTTCACATGTACCAGGTTCACAGAAGGACAGCCAAATGATAACAGTTACAGACTGTTATCAGTAACATAGGAAAATGCCCAATTTACTGTCTCTGTTTGCTAATAAATGCAATTCTCTCTTTATTTGTTGTTTAACTTTTTAGTTGCTGAACTTTTTGGAGAGATGACCTGCATGATTTAATGCTTGGAACTTATCGATAAGTACTTGGTGACACTATATAGAAAAATTTATCTGAATTTCCATTCTCTTTATTTTTTTTCTTCCCTGCATGTGGGCTCTCTGCATTCCTTTCTCCCTGTCTCTTTTTCACTTTTAACTGTTTAGTACTTTCACATTTAATTTTGACTCACATATTCTCAAAATCTTTCGGGGACCCTTTTGCCTTTCAAGCCCTTCTTCCAGCTCTTTGGCCCAGAGAGCAGATGCTTCTTCTGAGATCAGGATTGGTTTTGTCTTCCTTGAAGGAACAATGAACCTGTAACCAGCATTTTTTTTCTCTCATTTGTGTACATAGACCTTACTGTCTGCCTTTAGTGGAAGAAATATATCTAACTGACAGCTGTAGCCATAATCTCCCAAATACCTCCTCCTGCCTTATTTCAGGTTATGAGGATGAGATACGATGTTTGCGTCAGTCTTCTAAATCTGGAAAATAGGTGAAATAAAGAGGATCTGTTGCTATGTGGGGTCAGTTTTTTGGGGGAACCGTTTGTTGAGATAGTGAGACAGGTCTGAAAGCAAACTTTCCTAAAGGCAGAGGCAAATGGTTTTCTCTCAAGCCCAATAAATTGCAAATTTAAAAGTCACTGGATAGGTTTGGCAGATTCTTCCTGTTGGAGAAGCTTGGAGATGATTGAGATAGCATAACTGTAAAGCTCAGAGGTCCTTTTGTAGAATAGAACCTAGGTTAGAGGGGGAAGGTATACAATAAAGGTGCAGGAGGCAGAAGAGCACAAGTTTATACAAGGTAGAGAAATGTAAGGAGAAAGGCAGAGTTATCAGAGTTATGAGTTTGTATGGTTCTGCCTTGAGTGTTTGATTTTATATTTTCCTTAAGCTATTTGTAACAGCGTGCATTTTCAGTATGTGTACGGAGGCTTTAAACCATAGGTCTAAATTGCTGCAGCACCAGGGACATGACAATGTTAAGTTATCAGCACTACCAATTTAGAGAGATCAGACACACAGCAACATCACATATGAAGTGCACGGAAAAGAA